TCTCCAACGCATCGCTATAAGGCGAATCAACTCAAAAGGGTTGAACAGTTTCGAGAACAGGCAGAGCTGGGACTGAATTAGCAGCAGGAAGAGTCTGAGGAATATTATGGTCGGGGGCTAAGTTTGGTAGGACCTCGTCGGATGGAACCAGAATCACCGCCTCAGGCGGGTCTGCCAAAACTTGCATCGGCGTTAGTGTCGCACCCTCGGCAGCAATCTCGGCCTCGGCCTGCACCATGTTTGTCGATGGCACGTAACTGTGCATCATGAAGAATGGGGAGTCTGAAAGGACACCGGCAGCTCGGAGCGCCTCGTCCCACCCCTTCTTGAAGAACTCCTTGATGGTCTCCTCGAGGGCAGGCAGCACGTCATTGACAAACTCCTCTCGAATTTGCTCCTCGGACTTCGTGTTCTCCACCTCGGCCCTGATCCTGTCCAACTCCTGTGTCAGAGCCAGACAGTTCTCCTCTGACCCCACTGCCCTATCCTCTGCCGCAGAGAGCCGCTGTGTCTGCTGCGTGATCCTCCCCTCAGCGTCGGCCAGGGTAGCACTTAGCTTTTCAGCGCTGACCTTCGCCGATTCGCCATCCTTGAGGAGTTGCTCAATCTGAGCAGCCTGTCCCGCGAGGGTGGAGTCCCTGGTAACTACATCTTCCTTAGCACTGGCCAGGGCTCCCTCGGCCTCTTCCTTCTGTTCTTGGGTCCGCTGAAGATCCATCCTAGCTGCATGATACCGCGCAACAATTATGAAAATCTGTTGGGTGGCCTGCGAGGGAAAGGACTTATCAATTAAAAGTGACGCGACAATAAAAGACTGAAACAAAGATGAACTTACCACCAGAGAATTCTGAATGATGGAGCGAAACAAACGTGTTCGTTGTCTGCCCCCTATGAGCCTCCATGTCGGCCTCGAAATGGAGCGTCTCGCTCACTGCGTTGGCGACATGGGGGTCCTGCAGAATGAATCATCAACCCTGATCACCCGGTTTATATGGTCAGTGGCCCGAGGATTCCACTCTGCAGCTTCTATTGTCTGCGGATGGGGAGTTGAAGTCTGCCTCTGCTGCTGTTGCTGTTGTTGCCGCTGCTGCTGTTGTTGTTGCCTCTACTGCGGCTGTTGCTGTTGGGATGGAGGGGGTAACCCACGACCTCTCCCGCTTGGATGTTGAGCGGAGGAGGCCCTGGATCCCCTGCCCGGGCTATCGTGCCTTTGCTTGATCCTCCTCTCCTCCTCGACTTGAGGATCTCGGTCCCGCACTTGACCCCGACTAGTGGGCCTTAGAGGCGGGGGATTGGCGCTGGTACCTGTTGATGGGGTGCTACTGGCTAACCCCCGTCCTCTTCCGGTGGCAAAGACCTGTCTCTACCTCAGGAATCCCAGGTCGATGCGAGGCGTGTGTGACATGGCTACTTCGAGGGCGTCCTCTGCGTCTAGCGACTGAAGGATGGAGAAATCGGGCTACGAATTTTTCCCTAAAGTCCCCACCTCGGTGTGCGAAGGAACCAAAGCTTCTCTGGCCCCGAACTCCTCAACTTCACAGACACCCTTTACTTCCGCCTCGATAGCCCTGTCGGGGTCTTCCTCCAATTTCTCCTCGGCCTCTTGTTGCGCAGCCTGATCGAAGAGTTTAGACCACCGCGATGGCTCAAAAGGCTGGGGGAGCTGCGAGAATTTTTTATACCCAGGAGTGTAGTTGAGGAGGATGTGAGCAGTCCGACCGAACCCATCGTCGCCAACAAATCTCCAAACAGTGACAAGGTCAGCAAAGTTCACCAAGGACCGAGGGGGAGGGGCAACTTCCCGGGCGGGGACGTCTGCACAAGAGAGAATGTTATTAACACTTCTAAAAAAAAAATCTCAAGGACAAAAACAGTAGACTCGGGGAGGCCGACGTACTTGTCGTTCTCCATTCAAAGGGGCACATCAGGCCACTGTACTCGGGACTGGTCCCCCGCTACCAAGATCCACTGAATATCAGAAGGTCATCCTTGTATCTTTTGTCCAAGTCAGAGAGGTGAGTTACAAGGTACATGGAGGGATCCCTGGCTTTGAGGTAGAAATTCTGCTGAGGCATGACCCTCAACAGGGAGTAGCAAAAAAGGATATCGTTGAGCCCAACGTTTACCCCGAGACGGTTGTTAAGCTCTAAGACCCCCATTATTATCCTAAATACGTTAAGGCAACACTGCCTCGGGAAGAGTCTGAAATGGGCGAGGAACTGGAGGAGTAGAGGAGACAGGGTAAACCTAACTCCACCCTCTATAATTGCCTTGGTGAAAAATGGCATCTCATCCTCGGCCCTGACAATGCGGTTGTGCAAAACTGGGTCGTATTTATCTATACCTACGTTTGGGGAATGCGGTATCGAGCCCTAAACCTATTAATCTGCTCCTCTCTCTTCACTTTGTACTTCCCGGGTCTCGAGGAACTGGCCTGGGAATCCTCTGTGACAGGCCGACGTCGGAGCATCTCCAAAGAAGATAAAAACTAAAGAGGAAGGAAAGTTTTTTTAAAAAGATCCCCTAGGGGTTTCCTGAAGGTTGGTCACAGAACGACAAACCAGAAACACCTCCGGTTATCGGAGAATCAAAAAACAAAAAAAAAAGAGAGAAAGAAGAGAAGAAGAGACAGAAGGGCGGAGAGAAGGAAAATAAAAGGACTCACCAGAACTTGAACGAAGGTTTTCTTCAAAACTTGGAGTGGTTCCTTCCTCCAGGAGGTTCAGAAGCAAGGATGGGTCTGCTGGCCTTAAGACTCCGGTGAAGATTGGTTTGTAGATAACGTAAGGAAGTGGCTCTCCGGCGAGATTTCAGGCGAGGGCTCTCTAAAGAGTTCGAAATGGCGAAGTATAAGAAGGAGAGAGAAAACTCATTTATATAGTACCCATCCCCATCATTGGCCACGAAGCACGAAGCACGAAGAGGCGCATTTAGTGCGCACGACCTCCTAAGCAGAGGAAAGCGGCTAAAGACAATGATGAAGTGGTTGGGGGTAGTTGCAGAACCCTTCGTCTCCTTACAACGCGTGTCCTCGACATCAGAAGATCGAAGGCTAAGGGCAGTTGATGGGACATTTTTCGGACACCCCAAGATAGCGACACGTGTATTCGGTGTCAAGAAATACTCTCTGCCGTAATCACGACACGTGCTCGTCGGATCATAATCCCTCTTTCCCCAAGATGGTACTATGCATAAGGATCTACGACGCCAGTATGCACGAGCAACACGTATTCCTCGGTCGATTGGGGGGGGGTACATCGGCCCTGACTATTCTAGGACCTCAGCACCGATGTGTATCCACTACGTCGGCGTTCTTGTTCCTGCAGGGCTATTGATAGATAGGTCATCAGTCTGGGCTAGGCTAGATTAGCCATCATGACCTGGTCTTACCTAGATGGTGTCATGACGCACAGGAAAGCAGAAGGCTTAACCAAAGGGGAGCTAGCATGTGACATACTGTGTCAGATCAGAGGCGAAAAGACCAGAATGCCCTTGCTGACACACGACTTGGAAAAACAAGTATTTAATGCACCTTTCCCTTGATGAGACAACATTTAATGCGTGAAGACCCGGAAGTGAAAGACAAGAAATGATCCTGTGATAGAGCATTTAATATATCCCAGCCGAGTGAAGGTCATTAAATGCTCAACAGACCGAAGGTGATGCATTGGTTGCTCGGGGTCTCAAGTAGTTAAGGAAGAGGTCATTTCTCCTAAAAACCAGTGTGCACGTTACCTGCCTCTAATGATCACCTACTGACCATACTGACAGCAATCATGAGTTTTTAAAGTATAAATATTTTTCACAAAACGCATGATAAGGTATGAAAAAAACTTTTTCTCAAACCTATACACTATTTTCTTCTTCTCCTCTCTCAAAAAATTGACTTGATCGTCGGAGGGGATACGCCGAAAAACACTCCGGCGCCCTCCTAACTCGTTTTTCTTTGTTCCAGGAATCTTCCCTAGCCTCACAGGACTATCCCGGTGACCCACAAAAGTCACCCATTATCGTTCTAGACTACCACTGGTCCTCACAGTCTGTTCCGCCCAACAAAGTTGACCATTTGATTGACTGACTCGTGTTCACCATGAAAAATATTTGTTCTCGTATTTATATTGTGCAAGATCATGTGCGCACAAGTAGTAATGACCACATTAATTAATTAATTCCCACCCACCAATAAAAGAAGATAACATAACAACCTTGAACCGCTTCCGTTTACACAGCCTACCGACCTATACATGTTATCGCCACCTTAAACCACTGCAAGTCTGCAACTTCCACTACCTACTAATCAAAATGCCTTGGGGATATATTGTAACAACACATCCTCATCTGTCAAGTCATACAACTTCCGGTGGGATATCTACATCAGTCTACAAAATTCCACTTATCCTCATCACACAATGCATGCATTCACCAATTTGCACTATGCTAATGTCATTATTCACTTGATCAAAAGCTAACCAGTTTCATCTAATCTCTTATTACCACCCATATAGAATTGATTTGAGCATCTTCGGCTGCTGGTGTCAAACCGATGGAAGGCAAATCCCAGCAGTAATTTTTTTTTTGTTTGTTTTCTAGGCCATCTGTCAATTATTATTTGGTAGGTCAATTGATTCTATGTCTAACAGTTGGCACAGCATATACATAGAAAATGACGGATTTCATTCTCGAAAAAACCCTTGATCATGACAGCATATGGCCATAACAAAATGGTCCAAGCCAAGTGTTAGATATTGGGTTTTGGTGGTGGACTCAAACCAGAGCGTCCACGATGAGTTGACCCAATTAGAGAATCTCCATGGAACATGACTCTTTGAGGAGTCCTTTACCACCCAAAAGATGTGTCTGTTAAACTACTAACAGTCATGTCCCTCTACAAGGCATCTATTAGTTGCCTGTATAAACCCTATGACAACTAATAGACATGGTTGATTATTCCTATCGTGAAAGTCTCCTTCTTTGTATAGACGATTTTTCACATTGAACATGGAACATCCTTTAAAAGTTTTGGGATTAAAGCGAATTAAGATATATTTTTGATCTTACGTTTCCGCTATAATATACAATTCCTAACACCAAGGATTCTCATCCAGACAGTATATATATGCTTATCACAGTGGTTCTTGTGTCCCAGCAAGCATTCTGACATAACAAATTGGGTCTCACTTGGCAATTTACCACCATGAGGAAATGGGACAAACCAATTCTCAATTCTCAGAATCTCAGTACCTCGGTTACAAAATATATTTTCAAGTTAAATATTACTTAGTAAACTTAAGAGGAGGCTTCATGCAAGAGAGAAACAAAGAATATAGGATAACAATTTCTTGCTAAGTGATTAAAGAAGCAGTTTCTCTTTGAAATGAACATGAGAGATTCCCCAGAAGTTTTCTGAAACAAAGATAGAAAAATAGAAAAAGTGTTGAGAATTTGCAACTCAGTAACTGTATAAAAAGGAAATAAGATTCAATTTCATTTGCTAGTCTAAGTACCTGGTTAACACATTGGAAGCACGACATTTGGACCCCTCCTCATTTTTCCCACGTCACTGCACCAAGTAAATATTGTAATCTTATGTCATTGTCTAAATAATTTAAGCACAACATTTCAAGTCCCTCAAGTGAATGCAGAATAGGGAATCAACATTTAAAAATAGCCTAGCATAGTTTAACGAGAAAGTCACCAAGTTTAGATAATAGCTTGTTAGCAAGAAGGCTACGGGAGATTTAATTAAATGATTCCCCTTGCATGCTATTTGATTCTTTGGGCCAGCCAGCCAAAGGATATCTGATTCCTTGTCCCTGGCATTACTAGCAGGTCCCAGTCCAATACTGAACAGTTTGGTTTAATCAGTTCCCTAGTGAAAAGATGACTTTGCAGAGTAGAAAACAAAAATACTCACGTTAAGCAACTCGCTACTTGGTTAAGCTAAATTTTGATAGAACCGCAGCTGCTTGGTCACCACCCAACAAGAAATATGGATGCCTCAAAGCAGCTGAAGCTGACAAACGTCCCCTTCGAAGGGAACCTCGCTCTGAAATGAGCTTTGTGGCCAAATCCCAGCCTCTACCTGAATCAAGATCAAGAATGCTCAGGTTGGGCCTCAACCGAGTCTTCTCTCTCCACCTTTTCAAGTCATAACCAACTCCCTTAATTTCCAAATTGAAATTCTTCAAGCCTGCTGTGGACCTTAAGGAAGGTGTTGCCATTTGCAAGAGTACTATCCCAGCAGAATACATATCAAATAGGTCGGGACTGTTAAGCTGAAAGAACAATGAGAAATACATTTTAGCACAATAAACATTTCTTTCATATATTTTGGATAAGTCCAACCAAACATATTCATTTTGAAGTGTGGCCTGCATGGCATTAGCAAGGTCAAATAAATCCGTCAATAAATTAGTAAATGATCCAAATTCAATAGGTTCATAAGAAATATCAAACTTGGCATCAGATATCTAACATCTGGTTGATATATTCATCATTGAGTCAAATCAGACTAACCCAACTTGAATCAAATATGAATCCGTTCTTGTTTCATTTATTTGCATCATCACACTTTCCTCATGCATATAGCCAAAAAAACAAGGAAAAACTTGATGAGTTCTGCTCCACGAGGAGACCGGTAGAAAGAATTTGGTACCTGCCAAAGAATTGGAGAAAGAAAGGCCGCAATTGGCTCTGGCGGTGGCTTTGGTGTTTCCTCTGGGAGGACATATAATTCAGGGGGACAATAATCAGGGTCAAGCAGGCCGCGGTTGGGTACATAATTCTTGCCTATACGAAGGTCTGTGGCTGCCCCAAAATCTATGAGTTTGATCTGTCCCTTCTTCGTCACCACTAAGTTGGATGGCTTCACATCCCTGTGAACGATCCCTGTGTCATGGATTTTCTTGAGTGAAGTGACAATCTGGCGCATTATTTGCTTGATGATCAGTGCATTACGCTCAATAGATTCTAATTCTTGTAAGACACGACCAAACATGATAGATTCCAAGTTCAAAGGGAAAATACGATCGTTCATGTAATCAGCAAGGTCACGATCTCCCTGTCACATGAAGTTCCCCACAGTTAATGATGAAAGCAGTAAGCAACATTTCCTGTACAAAAAGGGCAGCCATTCTGTATGATGACAAGTTAAATCGAACAATAATTTAGTGAAAGGTTAAATACACAATAGTGTGGACAAACATCCTTGAGACGGAGGCATCAGTTCAAAGTTCAAACACAACCCACCCACATCTGAAAAACAAATAAATAGATAAACAAGACAGAGAAAAGGAAAACATAAAAAAATTCCTGCTGCTGAAGTTGAATACATAAAAATATGTATGTGGATTGCAATTGATCGAGTGGAGTGTGTAAGGTTCTCAGAATCAGAATCACATACAAACATCCCCAAATAGCTTAAATACCTCAAGTTTCCATACAAGCCACTTCTCACCCTTCGTAAATAGTGAATTAGTTTTATCAGCAACAAAACTTCCAAGGAACTCCGCACATGTCTCAGGAGCTGCTCTTGACAACCTGTAATTGAACCATTCTTCAAAATCACCACATTCTACAGCACCTTGAACTCCAACCTTCACCTATATAGTCAAAGAAAAGTTTAGAATGTCGGACAGAAAAAGAGAAGAGCAACGGCAGGTTGTTAAAGGAAATCAACAAAAGGAAGTTATAAGGATGATGATCTCATTTGTGCTTTTCTTTAAAATTTCTGCAAATCAATACAAGGAAATGTAAATCAAACAATATGTCTACTAGGTTTCTTGCGTGATTAAAGAGAAACAAGAAGGGAAAACAACCAGCATTACAGAAAACTGAGGTTTCGGCAGAGATATAAATGGTTTATCATTCAAAATTGATCCTTTTTTGTCAAGATAAATTTACTTTCACGACTACTTAAAATGGTTAATCCTGAAACAATAGCATGGGTGGGGGAATAACAAAATTGCAGTGATTGCCAGATGTGAGCAGAGTGATCTAAATGCTGCACAATTGATGGCAAACTCTCCATGAAAGGGAATGAGAATATTAATTCATAAAGCCACGGATCCCATACAAATGACCTCCCGATCAAGTTATTAGACTTTGACACAAATAAGAATTAGAACAACAATGGCTTGGAGCCAATTCCCAAGTAGACAACTTCGCGACGGTATACCGAGAAAAAAAAAGGTATGCGGATGACAAATCATATGAAACCAGCTTAACAATACCTAAAATCTAAAAGTTAACTCCTAAAGTAAGAAACAAATGTGCCAAGCCAGACAGCTTTTATACCTTTTATGACAAAAAATCCAAAAATGGTTTCATCAAGTCATATTGTAATGACTGTAACTATAAGAGCATCTTTAACCCTAACTCTAATTTAGATTCAAATTTGAATGTTCTAAAAATCTTCACCAACCTTAAACCCAAACTTATACCAAATCAAAGAAAAATTTATTCTGAACCCAAATTGAGTGAAACCAAGACCTTTTAACGGGAACTTTTTCCTATTTGAAACTCAAAAGACAACGCTTTTACCTATTGAAACTCAAAAGACAACGCTTCAACCACTGCCTCTCCCTTCCTCTCCAACCTCTCCCTTCGATGCTACTTTTACCGCCGACCACAATCGAATTATTCACCGACCGCCATCGAAGCTTATTTTCCTGCGTCATCCATTCTTTACAGGCTCATCTCTGTTTCTCCTTCTCTCTCTCACTAACTTCCATCTGTCTCGTCTCTTATCCTTGGGAAGTGTGAATATGGAGAATTGGGACCAAGTCCTAACTGATGTTAGATGTTTGCTTTTAAATTACTTGGTATGTTGACAACTTTGTTTTTGCTATGTTCACCAACAGGAATTTAATGGGTTAGATTCTAGATCTGTTCGCATCTGGGTATGAAATTCGAGAATGTTTCCAGCCCTAGAAAACTAATTAAGGCTGGAAAATCCAAAAGGGAAAGGCTAGGTAACACTAGTTAATAAGAAAGAGATGAAAAACAATGAAGAGATTCATCTGGGACATCACTAGAACTTTCAAGCACTAGAAACGTGTCCAGTTGTGCAGAGTTGTTGTCAAGCACCAAATAAACAAGTATTAGACGAGAAAAGAAAGAAGGACAAGGAGGAGAGATCTGTGGGAAACAATCACAAAACCATAGCATAATTCACAAATTTGCAAGTGAAACAGAGGAAATGAAGAAGGTAAAATGATTTGATGGGAGAAATTGAAAAATGAGTTTTGGGACAATAAGGAAATTTTTAAAAAATTTAATTAAATATTTGAGTTTGTTGATTAGAATTCTCCATACCAAATTAAGCTTTTTTATTTAAATTTAGACTTACATTTGAGTCACCTATAAAAGTGCCTTAAGAAAAGATAAACACATGCATTTTTGTCCAAGATGATAACTTTGTAATGATCAGTCGCACAGTTTACCTTTTTAAGAATCACCTTCTCTTTGAACCTTCCATCCATGTCTAGAGTTTTTCTACTTCCTCCCTTTCGTACCCTTTCTTCTACGGTCACATTCTTGGGAACAATCACGCCGGAATAAACAACACCAAATGACCCTTCTCCCAATCTATCCCCAATCAGGAAGTCAGACCTCTTCAAGCTCCTCCTACCAGTCAAACTGTCCAAGCCCAATTGCAGAGGAGCTAGTAGATATGCATCAATGGCACCAATAAGAACACCTGGCCTAGCAGTAAGATAAATCCAAGTAAACCCAGCAAAAACCAGAATCCCCCATTTCTGCATCTCCGGCAATTCTCCAGTCACTCTCTGAAACTGTACATACCCAGATTGAAAACCAGGGAATAGATTCAATGATTGGTCCAGATTGGGAGCGTTCTTCAACAAACTATCTGAAACGTCATCAAATAATGCATTGCACGTAACATTGTTTCTTTTCCAAAGGTTTGTGAAGGACCAGAAATACTTTTGTAATGTGGGTTTTGAAGGAGAGAAGCAGATGAATTTAGTATCTTGGTGAAAAATGGTTGCAGTTGGGGGAAGAAGAGAAGCCATGGATGCCCCTAAAGAAACATCCTATCCTATGGCGCGAGTTGTTAGCTATTTAGCCAGTTAAAAGGAAGGTGTCAGCAAAGGCTGGACTTTGTCCGCGTGTCAATCCTAGGTTTATCCATTAAGTTGGGCGTTTGCGGAGAGTGTAAAAACAGCAAGTCGGGCTTCTTAATTTTATTTTTCTGTTTTTTATTTCAGGTAGCACGAAAGACAAGTGACTTATTTTTACGCGATCTCACTAACTAATTATAAAATAATAAATAAAATTAATAAATCCTACAATTCTAATATAGAACAGGTAATTATTGGTAGTTAATAAAATAATAGATTTTATTAAGTCTATTTAATATTCTATCACTAATTGATGACACTATATCATTAGTATCATATAGTGTCACCGTTATATCTAATATTTTTTCCTTTATTAGGTGATGCTTCGGCGGATCCTTGTCTCCAAAATTTATTTTGGGTTAATAGTATTTTTTTTGTTCCTAAGTATGCATTTTTTATTGGTTTAAATCTTAATGTATCAATTTTGTCAATTTAATTTCTAAAATATTCAATTCATGTCATTTTAGTCCCTACATAGACGGATCGTTAAATTTGTGAAGGAATAATTACATGTTGAGTAGATGTTACTGCCTAAAATGATATGTGATTACTTCCATCAAAAAATTTGACAGATTGTCTAATTTGGGACCATTGAATATTTTAGAGATCAAATTAAAAAAATTGATACAATAAAAACTAAACTGATCAAAAAATATATACTTTAAGAACAAAAAATATTATTAATTTATTTATTTTTAAACAAGATAGTTTAAATATTAGAGCTATACTAACAATCACATCATATGTAACTAGGGGTGTCCATGGGCCGCCTCAAGCTAGGCCCGCGAAATTTTTTTGGGGGGCGGGCTTGGGTAGTGTAAGCTCAAGTCCTTACTCAAGTGAGTAATCGGGCGGGCCGATCCGAACTTCAGGTAGGGGTAGGCTATCCGCGGCCCAACCTGTGAGCCTATTGGGTGGCTCTGTGAGCAGGGTTGCTGGGCGGGCCTACTTGCAGGCTTTTTTATATACATATTTATTTAAAAATAATGAATATTTTTGTAAATTAACATTTGTGTAAATTATATTTGTGAATCAAAAGTAAAGTCAAAATAAATAAAAATAAAAATAATGAATTACATCTGATGGGTCAAACCCAAATGACTCAATCTATGTGGAAAGTCCAAATCTCAATTAAGGAGTCCAACCTCATAAAAGATCCACCAAGCCCAACATAGTCTAAAATCAGTCAGACACTCTGCTTAGCCACGTCATCAAAAGGAAGAGCATGGGGGCCTTACCTGCACCGCAGAAGGAAACAGTCCACCCTTACCTTATCTTTGACCACAGCTCATGGAAAACTCCTCAACCATCTCACCCGTTGAGAAGAAGTCGTGAGCTCCACCGAAATGGTTACTTAGTTGCTGAAAAATAGCCTCAATCTATTAGCGGACGACTATAAATTGTAAGTCCCACCAACACTTGGGGGGCATGGCATCACACTTTACTTGAGCACAATTCTCTCATCTTTTTCAAAGCTTGTACTCTTTCCTCCCCACTCCCTTAAGTTAATAAAGTACTCGGCAACTAGAGCCATTCAAGAGTAGACGTAGGTCGAGTTGATCAAACCATTATAAATTACTTATGTCTCTCCATCTCCTTACTTTACTCTTACATTTATTAATCACACTTGACAAGTGGTGTGCAAAAACTATTTTGTGCATCATCAGTTTGGCGCCGTCTGTGGGAAAACGAAAAAATTCTCACTCTTAAACATTCCATTTGCTGAACTAATGACGATCACTACCGAATCCATGAACCAACACGAAGACAATCCACCATGAGAGGAGGAGGTTGCTCCTCCACCTACCAACCCTGTCCTAAATGTCCTAACTCCAATCCACAACAAATGCTGGAGACCATGCAGCAGCTGGTGGCCCAAAACCAGCAGATACTGTAACTCATGCTCATTGGACAAGGAGGAGCACAACTTGGAGGTGCACAACATGGAGGACCTCAAGGAGCTCCACTCCCTGGACATCAAGTAGCTCCACACCCTGCTGCACCACGCCTGGGCGCCCGTGCAGGGCTGGGCACCCCACACAGGGGAGCCCATCATGAGGGAGTTCCACCTCCTTCTGCTTCTCATGGTGAGGACTCTCATCTTCGAGAGGATGAGGGCGAGAACCAAAATATGGAGCATGAGAGTTATTTCCATGATCACTCCAAGGGACCCCCTAACCATTGGGATGAAAAGATCAAGGAAGTACAAAATCAATTGGGGGACGTCTTCAATGCCATAAAGGTGCAGGGACCCGAGACAGTAGACTACCTGGTAAGGCGTACAGACACGCCCTTCAAGCCTGATGTGGCGAACTATCCCCTCCCTCAAAAGTTCAAAATGCCATCCGTGGAGACCTTTGACAGAACAAAAGATCCACTAGACCACCTCGACACCTACAAGACTCTGATGCAGTTGGACAATGTCCCAGACGAAATCATGTGTAGGACATTCCCAACCACATTGAAGGGGTCCACACGACAATAGTTCACTAAGCTCCCCCCATCCTCCATCGCCTCCTTTGCTGAGTTGAATAGGTCATTCATATCGCATTTCAGTGGGGGGGGTCGCCACCAGAAGCTTGTCACCCATTTGCTTAGCATAAAGCAGGATCGGGAGGAGAACTTGAGGAGCTACCTCACTCGTTTTAACAAGGAGGTACTCTAAGTTGATGAGCTTGATGACAAAGTAACGATGACTGTCTTCTTGGGAGGCTTTCGCTCGTCAAGCTTCCTCTTCTTAGTGATGAAGCGCCCACTAAAGAGCATGTCAAAACTATTAGCAAAGGGCCAGAAAATACATGAATGCAAAGAGAACATCACAAGGGCTAGACGAGGTGAGTCCTCCAGAGCAGTAGGGAGAAAGAGGAAGGAAAGGGAGAGAGAAGACAAGAAGGAGACTAGCAATAAATGTGGCAGAACAGAGAGGGGTTTCTGTCAATGATTGGCTAGGTGCTGCTCCTCAGAGGGATCGACAAGCCTTCACTCCCCTCAACGCTGCTATCAGGCACATCCTATTTCAGATCCAGGATGACCCCGCCATAAAGTGGGCAGGGAAGATGAAATCTCCTCCAAATCGCAGAAATCCTAACAAGTACTGTCGTTTCCACTGCGACCATGGGCATGACACCGACGATTGCTATGACCTCAAAAGACAAATTGAGGAACTCATCCACCGTGGCCACCTACGCCAGCATGTTATTGGCAGAGAACGAGCACCACCACCTCATAATCAAAAAGACCACTAGCCCGTGGGGGAGATCCACACCATCTCGGGAGGACTAGTAAGAGATGGAGAATCACTTTCTGCAATGAAGGCTCATGCCAAAAAGGCAAGGCACCTTGACAAGATGCGTTATCCAAAGTGCCAAAGTAGGGCGACAACGAGGTCATATCTTTCTTAGACAAGGACCTAGAGGGAATACAACACCCCTATGACGACCCCCTGGTGCTCACCATGACCGTAACCAATTTTTAAGTGCGCAGGATCCTAGTGGATAGCGACAGCTCTATGAATATCCTACTCGCAGAGGCTTATGAGAAGCTCAACTTGGGTAGGGAGAGACTGCAGCCTATTAGATCACCCCTCATTGGGTTCTTAGGGGAAAAAGTATATCCCCTAAGGTCCATTACTTTACTTGTCACAGCCGAAGCAGCGCCCCGAAGCTCCACAGTCATGGTCAATTTTTTGGTCATAGACTGCCCATCAGCCTACAATATCATACTGGGGTGACCTGCTCTTAATACATTAAGAGTTGTGCCGTTCACCTATCACCTCATCCTTCGCTTTTCAACCACGAATGGAGTCGGAGAGATTAGAGGAGACCAGGTAGTAGCGATAGAGTGTTTATGTCTCCTCCATGAAGACCAAGAAGCCACAGGAAGCGTTGCAAATTGATGTCCTTGATCTGAGGGATAACACCACCATAGAGAGAGGAGAACCAGTCAAGGAGCTCACCCCTATGCCCTTGGCTAAGGAGCACCCAGACAGAAAAGTATACATCGGTTCTTCCCTTTCTGAAGACCTGGTTGGCCAGCTAATAGACTTTTTGAGACGTAATATGGAAGTCTTTGCGTGGTCACATGCAAACCTTGAGGGAATTGACCTAGAAGTGGCCACACACCGTCTCAATGTAGACCCACGCCACAAGCCTGTTTGCCAAAAGCTAAGGGGCGCCTCCACTGAAAGGGCCCAAGCTATGGACAAGGAGGTGGGAAAGCTAATAGAAAACGGGGCCGTCAAAGAAGTAGCATATCCTGAGTGGCTCTCCAACGTGGTGATGGTCACTAAAACTAATGAAAAATGGCATTTTTGCGTCATCACAGAGCTCAACAAGGCGTGCCCGAAAGACACCCACTGCCACGGATTGACCTTCTTATCGACGCCACCGCAGGACATGAGTTGCTCACTTTCCTGGATGCTTACTCTGGGTACAACCAGATTAGCATGTACCCCCCAGACCAGGAGAAAACATTATTTATCACTCCGAATGGAACCTATTGCTATAGGGTCATGCCCTTCGGACTAAAGAACGCAGGAGCAACCTACCAACGGTTGGTGAATAAGATGTTCCAGTCTCAGATCGGATGAACGATGGAGGTGTACGTGGATGACATGTTGGTGAAAAATCTCGTAGTAGTAGACCACATTGATCACCTCCAAAAAACTTTCAATTTCCTAAGGTCTTATCACATAAAGCTCAATCCTGAGAAGTGCGTCTTTGGCATAGGGTTTGGAAAATTCTTGGGCTTTATGGTCAATCAGAGGGGAATTAAGGCAAACCCTAATAAAATCAAGGCTATCCTCAACATGAAGTCACCTTCCTCGACCAAGGAGTTCCAGCGCCTCAATGGAAGAATCGCTGCACTCAATAGGTTTGTTTTCCAAATCTGTAGACAAATGTCTGCCTTTCTTCAAGATTCTTCGGAAGGCCTTTGAGTGGG